ACAGCTGAAGCAAAGGACATGAGGGGACACAGCTCGGCTCTCTGCACAGATGCACATGCACGGAATAAAGGAGGTACACAGAACCTGCTCATGCCTTGGGGTGTAAAATTTAATTCCTGATTAGGCTCTGCTACCTACTCTTCCTTCCTTCGCAAATTGTATTTTAGTAATTTGTAACTCGGCGTGTTTTCCTTAAGAGTGCGCGCTGGACAAAATGAAAAAAGTTGTGTAAGACTGAAAATTGGTAGTGGTATCTCCCACATTGAGGAATACTTCTAATTTAAATTTTAAAAGTTCTATTATATTCTGATTGCTGCTGAAGTGTCTAATTTTAAAATTCACTTTTCTCCTAAAAAGATAAAATGCTGCTTCTGCTAGTGGTTTATAGAAATAGAGTATCTGCACTCAAGTGCTCTCAACAGTGAAAGTGCACAAATAATCTTTCTTTACAGTTTCAAAAACTGAACAGTGGCATGTAACTACAGGTGTAACATTTTAAGAAACACAGGCAGCTTTCTAAAAGCCTAGAGAGGCCAAGGATCAGAGAAACACGTTTGTCTTAGATGCCAATCCCATGTCATCCCAATTCTGAAGTATGAAATATTTTCATGACTTTTCCTGGTGGCTAACACACGTGGCACAGACCCTGTAACGCTGATTTCTAGAATGTTCTCACTCCAAACCACAGCAGGTAAATAACACACAACCAACAGCCTGCAAGCATCTTGCTGCAGAGACAATCAGATAAACCAGCCTTAAAGATAAACAGGGCAGAATGAGAGTCCCCATCTGAAACAAGCCCTCAGGAGGAATTCTGACCCCAATCACGTGAACATGGCAAGGGTTGTTCTATAAGTTGTTACACAGAGGTCTCACACCCACATTAGTCAGAGCTTGCCTCTGACATAGTCGTCTCTGCTTTGCAAAGCTCCTGGTGATCACTCAGTTTTCTCAGCACAAGAATTTGGCCGGACCTGTCAGTGTCCTGCTCTTCCCAGCTGTGTTCCTTCTCCCTCACAGCTCCCAGCAGTGCTGTCACCTGCTTCAAATCCCAGCTTCACTCAGCACCAGCAGCCCTGGAGCGGCCTGTTATAATCAGAAGGTTCAGGAATATGGGAATAAGCGGCTGTGACACACTGGGTGGGAGTACAAATTCAGCATTCCCATCACAGGGATGAGCTTCTTTGTGCAGGCACACAGCAGAACTTGCAGCAATCATCTGCTGGGAATCAGAACCTTCACACCAGGGACAGAAGCACATGGCATCCAGGAGATGCTGTGAGCTATCCTGCTGAATCCCATCTTCAAAGGAGATCAAGGAATGGATTCTTCACTTTGATCTGTGTTGGCCTCCAGCATCTGCATGAAACACTTGGGTGAAGTCTGCCCAAGTCTGGCTTTAGATTCTTAGCAAATACTTCTCCAAGATGCCAAAATACATCAGATTGTGTCTTCAGTCTGAAACATTCTGTATAGCATCAAGTCAGCATTATTAAAAGCCTTCAACCCCACATTTCTTCAAAAGGTACATGATGCAAACCAGGTTTTGGAGTAGTTCCAAGACAGAAACAGTATTTTCAGCAAATATCCCATGGACAGTGACTCCCTTGCTTTCTCATTATTCCAACTCTTAGTAAAAACCTTGTCCCAGCTCCCTTTCACCAGAGGCGCCTGTGTGAGGGAGGCCTCTTCTCTTCCCTGCTAAAAGTTTTGCTTTGAAGCAGCAAAGTTGCATCATCATGTTACACAACCACCACCCTCTCACTTCAGACCTAGAGCTGTCAACCAGTGCCAAAATTCAGGAAAAGAAAACCCCAGCCATGTGAGACAGCTGCTGTAGGACTGGCTGAACTGGAGAGCTCCGAGTTCCTGCTAAGAGGTTGTAACCAAACCATCTGCAGAAGATACAGGTGAGCAAATATACAGACATCAGTGATGGAGACAAGAGGTACCACGTGGAAGTGAGCAGTCAACCCACTTTTCCTGTGAATACCAGGCAATTAGGACACAGGCAGCAGTCAGATTCATTGGTCAGCAATTAAGTGTAGAGCCCTTCAAGATAAGTTAAAGCAGAACAAAGGAACATTGCCCATGCTCTTTGTGCCAGGGACAGATATTTTGCTCAGTGATGCAAAGTCAATTGCAAGAGCACATTCAGCCCACAATGAGCAAGAGAGAACTGTAATCCTACCGAGTCAAGGCCTCTGGATACCACATCCTTCTTCAGCATCAGCTCTTTGTGCCTTCCTAACTCAGAGATGCCACGTGGCCAGCAGTCCCCAAGCTCTCTCACCAGGTTCTCAGCTGTAGATCAACGTGATGCTCCTTTGGAACTGCAAATCCCACTTGGAGAGAGCAAGATTGCTGTTGGTGACAATGACAAGTGCTGCCAAGGCCAAGAGCACACATCTATCATCTGTCCATGTTAGTCTGAGAACCATTCCTCTTCGGAGTCAATGCTGAACTCCACGGCAGTCAGCTTGCAAGTCCATACTGCAAAACTCTATTTACTCCAAACAAAGAAGCAATAAATGAAAATTCTGAAAGGTGGAGAGAAAAAACACTCCCACAGCTGTAAATTTATTAAACCTAGCATGGTTGAAAAGCAAAAGACGAAAAACATGATATATTTTTGTTTATTATTGCTCTTAAAGGGCTTGGTAGTCAAATATACAAGCTATGCTCTATTAAACCAGAAGAAAATAAGATATAAAATCTATGCTCACTTTTCCAATCCAATCCACCTGCTAATCTTCATTAGTGACATTAACTTCAGCTATTTCCAGTCATTTTAATTGATACATACTCCGTGTACGTGTGCGCGCGCAAGTATAAAAACCCCTATTTGAGAGAGAAAATTCAAAAGTAAGAGATTCGTGTTGGTTTTGTACTGTTTTGTGCACTGCTGTAGTTTCAGTTTTTCAAGTGTTACTGATATGTCTGTTTAGAAGAGCAAAATTTAAGTATCTGATGATGTATTTATTATATTTTCAAAAAGAAAGCATGACCAATAAGTTATGATAAGAAAATATGAAATGTTGATTATTCTCCCCTTGATGTACATGCACTAATCCCATGATCCTGAATAGGGAGTTACATGCACTAAGAGGAGAAAAGGATCCTGTAAAGAGAAAGGCTATTAATTCCTTTCTCCTCTAAGCAGCTCCCCTCTTCTCAGCATTAAGAAGGGATTTATTTTGTGAAATTCTTGTCATGCCCATTAATATACTGCTCAAAATGTAAGTATAAAACATAGTCAATGGTCAGCCTGCTTAGCAAGCCTCTTCTGCTAAGCCAGTACAATTTATATATACTCAATATCATCTTCAGGAAGCAAGTATACAGCATTTGTAACATCTTTCTAGGAAGCAAGAACTATACCCATTACTGAATTACTTAAAAAAAAAAAAAAAGAAAGAAAAAAAAGAACCCCCTACTGTTCTCTGTCCTCTGGTTAAAAACAGGGAAAAGCCAGAGGTAACTTTATCAGCATTTGGATGTCTGACTGTATTTGACGACAAATTACAAAAACATCCAGCAAGGAGAACAGAGTTATGGCTAGGCTCTGCTCTCCTCAGTTCCCAAAGCATATTTCAAATCCCACTTACATTTGCAACAGATTTGCAGCCCCTCTCTTAGGGAAGATTTATTGAGGGGACAATGACACACTAACGTTGGGGGTCTGGGTACAAGGATTCAGCAAGGTGGAATCTAACAGGAGACAGACAGAACTCAGGTCAGCCTTCAAATGCTCTTGTTGAAAAGACCACAAATAAAAATCAAGTGCATGACAGAACAAGTGATTAATGACCCCAAGTAAAATATTTTTCTAAGTTACAAAATTGCTCTTCCAGTGTTTGAAAACAGAAAAACCTGTGGGAGAAGAGGTTACATTCCAACAGTTAAGAGCAAATTCAGAAAGAAGGTAAATTATTACTCTCTTATCTTGGTTACTGGAGCAAAGATGAAAACAACAACCAATACTTTGATAAAATCTGCTCTTTACAAAAGTGAGATTAATATTCTAGTGGCAGCTGGGTTAAAGATACAGACCCTGAGGGTTAGCTTCTGCCCTCAGCTGTAGATCTGCAACTCATTTCACCCACTTCTGTGAGCAGCCAAATGCAGATTGTGACCTTCAGACTTGAACATACAGGTATAGTTACCATCTGTTTGCAAATAATTCCCCAGCTATGCATACAGCAGCAACCTACAGAAACCTCCAAATGTGCGTTTGTAAAAAAAGGAAAGGAAGGAAGGAAAAAAGGGAGACAGGTACAGACATGATTCTGAGCTCTAATTTTCAGTGAAAAAGACGAAAATGTCAACAAGCAAAACTAAAGATAATTAAAATCCCTGAAGAGACCTTATACTCTTTCTAATGCTTTAACAGCACAGCTCACCTTGCAAGAAACTTCACATGAACACCTAAAGCATGATCAAGTCAAAAGAGCAGCACACCCTATCCTGACACACACAGGGTAAAGTCCTGGCCCCATCTCAATCCATGCTGAAACTCTCATCAGAAGTTCAAGAGATACCAGCATTCAAAATTTGACTGCTACAGACCTTTCCTTTTCACATTTTTTACAAAAGAAGACATTTTGAAAAATATTGTGCTGATTTCTAGTGCTGCCTCCCAGTTTACTGAGAGAGGTTGGCTGAACTGGACTTTGGTAATGAGAGATGCAAACAGAAATAAAAGGAGAATTGAAAAAAATCTTTTCTTTACACAACTCTAAATCCCACGGCCAATACCACTAATTAAAAAAAAAAAAAACAAACGAGCCCAAACAGATTCAAAATTATGGAACATGTTTGATGTGGAACAGGGCAAACAGCACTCAAGACTGAAGTAATATTTAGAAATTAAACAGCCTTGAGCAGTTAGCAGGAGATAGGATGGGAGTGTTATCCTATTGGATCTGTTCTATGGGATGTGCTGATGGATAACACGCTGCTTCCAAACTCCACTATCCCTTCTCCTGTGTTACAGAAGTTGCCTGAAAATAAAAAGTGTCAGTGTAACATACAAACAGGATTTCATCTGTAGCCATGACAACACAGCCAAAAAGACTCTAACCCAATGAACACCTGTCAATTCATTTAAGGAGGGTGTTTTTTCCTGGCTCATTAGTAAGAGAAGTTGAAAATCAATAAATGTTATGTTGGCTTTAGCAAGAGGAAACATTCAATGGCTCCTGTTGTAAAAGTGAGTGTAGTGCTCTTGACAGAAACCAGTTTTCAGTCATCTGAAGATACACGTGGCCATGGCCAATGCCCTCTTTTCTCCCCCACCCCAAGTCCCCCAACAAAGCAAGAAAAATTAGTTTCTTCTTCCACCCCACCCCAGATTTTCTCCCACAGCTTGACTACAGTAATCCTTGAACAGGCAGAAGGTTGGTGCATTCTCTTCAGTCGATGCCTCCACCTTCTTCATTCTTGGCTCAAGTTTTATTCATTAATATTAGTCATCAGTTATTAAGAAAAAGATAGTTTCTAAGTGTTTGTTGTTGTTTTTTTAACTGAAGTTAATCGGATACCATAGTCTGGTTATAGATGCTGATCTGCAGCCGTCAGTTATTCCTTTTTCTTGAATTCCTGGTTGCCATAGCTGGAGCCTTTTTCTATTTCAGTTACTCCTATCAGTCTACGAACTCCAAAGGAAGCTTTAAAATATAACAGAGAAATGAGAGGCACATTAAAAGCAGTCCAAGCACCCAGGAAGTTACATGTAAGCACACGAGCAGAACCCAATCCCCAAGTCAGCAGTGACCACACTGTGCTGTATGATGCTGCACAGGACACTCAAAGAGAGGGACAATCCAGATTTAAAAATATAATTACTGCTTCTCTTGGTTAACAGGACATGTAGCATGAACACTGAAGCACATCCCCTCTCTCCTCCCCTTCTATTATTGTTAGGGTTTTTTTGTTGTGGGGCTGGGGGGTGGAAATTTGGTGGTAATTATGTATTTTTTGTTTGTGCTGGTGGTTTTGTTTGTTTGTTTGTTTTTAAATTCACAGACAATTGTCCAGTGAAAGTATTTTCTCCTTCCAGCACCATAATAATGGGCTACATGACTCACCTACTACCACTACAGTTTTTGCTTAAGATATGAAGGCAAATTTGGCCAGATTAAAGCTTTTGAAACAATAAAAATGCTGTACAACAGAAAGACTAATGAGTGAGCTCCAAATATTTTCCTGCAAGCCCCATTCTCATGAATTAATCACAGAACTTATTGGAGGTAAAGGATCCTGTTCTATGTCACACTGGGCTTAGCATCTTCTCTGCTTTTATTACCTGCTCCTACAAGTCCCAGGAATGCAAGGATAAGGAGAGGTGATCCACTTGCAAAAACTCCAAAGCCAAATGTGAAGAGAGGAGAGAGGAGAACTGTGGCCCAAAAAAGGAAGTTTAGGAGAGTCCATGGTCTCCTAGGAGGTTTAAACTGCTTGCCAGGAAATATACCTTCCTGATTATACATCTCTTGCAAAGCATCCTGGGGGAAAGAGAAAAGAAAATGAGTTCTTAATGTTTGCACCAAGCAGCCCAAGATTAGTCAGCTCCAGGACAACATCCAGGACAGCATCTGTGCTACAAACTCATCCAGAGTGCACAGCAGCCAATTCCATCTGCTGTCACTTATTTGGGCATTGCTGTTGACCATCCAAGTGACCTTTAAGCCTTTTGAAGGCAATTTTGGCACCATCAAAAACTGAAACCTTATCATCCTCTGCACTACCAAATACTTTCATCTTGCCTGTAAATTGCTTAAGAATTTAGGGCAGCTTCAGGCCAGAGACCAGTTCAGACGCTACCAACTCTCTTAGCTGGGTGCTTTTCCTTCCTGTTTTTACTTCCAGAAAGGTCAGCATGATTCAGCAAAGCAGAAAAATTCTGTATGGAGAGCCAGGAGGGGAGGGCAAGGAATGAGCTGAGAGCAGAGACAGCACCAGCCCCAATCCCAGCCCTGCAACAGAGCCACTGCAGCCCAAGCTGAGCTGCAGAGGTGCAAAAATCTGGAACACATCACTCAAAGGAACAAGCTTCCCACCACCTTCCCTCAGTCTGGAAGATTGCTCTTTAAGGTTTCCATGCCATTACCAAGGATGGCTCAAGTCCAGCTATTCCTTGTTTGCATTTCTTATTTTTAAAATTTCCCTTACAATGGGCTGAGAAGTGCAAGGCATTCCTTGCCAAAACCAGCCTTTGGAGGACACATTCTCTGTGCAGGAAGAGGATTCCAGTTACAAAGTCACTGCAATAAATGGGATGAGAGGATTCCAGTTACAATGTATTGCAAACACTAAGATCAATATGTATAATACCCATGTCCATAAGCAATACCTCCCTGTCAACACCTCACAACAAAGGTGAACAGAGGCACAGCCAACATCAGGAGGGATGAGAGGAAATGGTGCCACATTGCAGCAGGGGAGGGTTAGATTGGACATTAGGAAAAAAAAAAAACTTTCATGGAAAGAGTTGTCCAGGGAAGACTGTCCAGGGAACTGGTGGAGTCATCATCCCTGGAAGTATTCAAAAAAACCCTATGGATTTTATGGATATGCCCTTGAGGACTTGGTTTAGTGGTGAACATGGTGTTGGGTTGACAGTTGGACCCTCTGTTCTTAGAAGCCTTTCTCAACCTCAAGGACTCTTTGGTTCTACAGACCTGCCTGAGGGGAGGTGGGGGAAAAGATGATGAGCTACTGCTCTTTGTAAAATAATCTCTCTCCTTAACTGAATCAGAGTTTGGATACTCAAACAAATTAGTTGAAATAAATAAAATGAAACTCAGAACAATTTGCTGCCTATCTAGAGACTGAGCATAAGCCTGGCAATGCTGCAGCACACATCATCATAGCTGGGGAAAGCCCAGGGTACTTAAACTTTCTGTGCTCTGCTGTCTTCCCCCAAAGATCAGCAAATCAAGATACACTTTTCCAGTTCAATAATCCACCACTTAAGGCTGGACAACAATTACAGCTCTCTCCTACTCCCCACAGAAGTGTTAAATCTGGTCGAGAAGTGTTAAAGTGGTTGAGAAAAATGGATTTTTCTAACCATCTAAGGTTAGAAAAAGAAATGACACAAGGAAGAGCTCTGAGCCATCTGAAGGCATGCTGGGCACGTGTTTTATCAGTCCCTGGCAGCAGCTCCCAGGGACTGTCTGTGCCATGTCACACACCACTGCAGAAGTATTAGCAGGAGGCAGAAGGAAAGTGACAGTGGAGGAAAAAATGAAAGCAAAGAACAATTGCAGCTGAAAGCTGGGACCTGCTGTCCCTGACAGACAGTTATCACTCTTCTCAAGTGCCTAAAAAAACCCACAGGGAAAATGGAGCTTTTAGAAATGCATGACAGAGATCCAAGTGCTGAAAAATGTAAAAAGACACTGGATTGATATTAGTCTTTCACAGCTCAGGCATATCTCTGAATTCCATTGTGCTTCCTGGCAATTTGAGACCTCACCACCCAGCCCTCTGCTGCCAAGGGGCCCCTTGGTCCTGCTCCTTCCAGCACTTTGAGGGATGGCTGCCTAGTTACACATAATATCCTCTCCATCCAGTGCAGGAGTGTGTATTACTCACTGCCTTAGTACACTCCCCTGTGCAATCCCACAAGGCAGAAAAGAATGTAAAGCTATTTACCTTTTCCTGGTAAAGCTTATGAAGCCAGTTTGCAGCTTCCTTTTCATCTTGAGGGATATCTTCCAGAGGAAATCTCCTAGTTTAGTAGAGAGATTAAAAAATGGAAAGAAGAAAAAAAATAATTAAGGGAAAAGCCAGGTATTTGGTTTTATGCCTCTCCTAGGGAAGATCTTCCATTCACTAAAGGGCAGAAATCTTTGCCAATAATGACACTGATGGCAGAGGTCTAAACACAGAGAAATGGGACTTAAAATGTGAGGTTTTAGGTTGGGAATTGGGTGCTATTTTAGACAAAAGAAACTGTACAAGCTCCTGTCAGTGTCAGAGCACATCAGTAAAATCATCATTTCCCATTCAAACACTGTTCCTCCTTCACCAGATCCACCCCTGGCTGATTTCCAGTGAGCTCAGGCTGAGGCACTCGGAGCTGGGAAAAGACAAGCAAGTGGAAAACCCAAGGGTAATTGTTGGTTGCATTTTGGTAATGAAAACCAAATTTTGGAAGCAATGGGAGAGGCAACTGAACGTTCACTTTTTACCATCTCTAAGGCAAACACTTGCAGTGACTGCACTTGTCCCTCTTTGTCTCTGCAGCCCCACAGACGGAGGCACACAGTTCTGGGGGTGTGTGACAATTCTGCCAGCCCTGAGCTGACCTCACTGAGAACAGTGCCTTGTCAGAGCCTCTCTGTAGTGATGAAGGGCCAACCATTCCCCTGTTTCTTCTGTTTTCTAGACCCTTCCAAGCCCAGCCCCTCTATGATTCTGTGAATTTGTTCTAACACATTTCTAATGATTTCTGCATCCCATAAGCAAACTGAACACCAGATCTGGCAGATTTACTTACATGAGCCCTAACAAGAGAAGCTGCTCAATTCATATAAATAATGCTCAATAAAAGCTCAGTGAAAAGTCATTTTCTGGAAGCTTTCTGGTGAAGTCGCCGTGGTGTTGCTGTCACCACTAGAGGGGACTCACAGCAACCACATTTGGTGATTTCCTGATTATTTCCTCTGGAGGCAGTTGGGATAAAGACTGGATCCCCTGCAGAGCTAAGCTGCTTACCTGGGCTCAGGTAACTACGTCTGCACATACCAAGAACAAGAGCTTATGTGCTTCCCTTCTCTGAGCTACACTAAGTCTGTTGGCACAACAAGGACATGCTCCATTTTCAGCAAAACATCTGTAAAAAGTCTCCTTATTCTCATAGCTTCTTCCCTCAAACAGGAAAAAAGTGTAGAAAAGCACTTTGAGAATATTCATTCCATCCACAAACACATTTTTCATCGAATTATCTAAGCACACTCATTTGTAGAGTACAATTAGTAATTTTACCTGGCCGCAGACTTTTACAAACCCAAATATCTTCTAACTCTATTAAAAACCACATTTCTCTTCTTTACTCCCATTACCCCTCTAAGAAATGAAAGAAAATTGCACCTCCATTAGCAAAAAGGATATTTAACTGAAGGCTGCCACAGTTCAGTGTATAATTAATAATTATACAGATGTGCATCCATGCATGTGCACCTCAGATCCAGCTAGATATCCTACATGCACTTGCCATCAGTGTGGAATTACAGGTGGAGCTGCCTGACCAGCTGTTTTGCTGGCTGGCAAATTGTCTGCTCACTTTCCTCATCAGGAATATGCTTGGCAAGTGTAAATAGTGAAAATGAAACCCCTTGCAAATGAGCAACTCCACTGCTCCATGGACAGCTCCACAGTCATCTTTTCAGCTGGGAGAATAAAATGTTGTGGATGCTGCAGCAACACACAGACCCAAAGCCAGAGGGGAAAGGTGTGGGGGGAAGGAGAAAAAATAAAAAGCCTTTTTCCCTTTTTTTTAACTTTTCAAAACCAAGCATCAGCCTCATCACCAGAATACAGCAATGTTTTCCAAAGGGTGGGTGAATCCCACAGAGAAGCAGAAGCAAACTGTCTAAAGAACTGTGGAAAGAATAACCAGGTCATGTCTCAGGTACAAACATAAAAGGGAAGAGAAGACATTCAACAGGATTGGTAGTTTTTATGATCACAAGGAACCCTTTGAAGCAGAAGGCAGCAAGGAGAAAGCAAGAAAGAGAAGAGGTGTGTGTGCATGCAAATGTGTGTGTGCTGCATGGGGTTAGGTGTTAACAGCTACTCTTTGAGGCAAAGGAACAGTGAGGAATGTGAGCAATGTCCCACTTCATTCACAGGATGTCTGAATTTCAGCAGTTTTAAATTTTTAATCTGCAGATCAAACCATGTGAGTGAGGCAGAGAAACTGGTATGTAAAGGAGCTTTAGATTATTTATTACAAGGGACCACAGAAGCTGAAGGACAAGGAGAAGTGGACTACAGGAAAGGAAATTACCCTGTAAAATCTGAATACACTTTAGCATGCTAAACTATGCATCTTAGGGCTCACCTCCATCAGTAATGCTCACCTTACACACATATCTGCTTCATATTTCTTTCCATAAAGAATTCCTAATAAAGATGGGTTCTTGTTTCCTCTGAAATTTAGTGTTACATCATACACTGCTGAAACTGTTGGGAAAAAAAAGATAAAACAGAGCTGTTACATCAGCAATTCTAGCAAGCACCTTCTGGCATCCTTGCTTGAAACAGCACAGAGCCTTGTGCAAGCCTTGCATTAATGACGTGTCAGAGTTCTATGTTTACACATCACATTTATCTGCACCAGCCCCCTGACACTCCCAGCTCTGTAAAACACCAGATGACTTGATGAACTAAGCAACATTAAAAGGTTTTTAGTATTTCTTAAGACTGGTTATCTGACAGTTCTGTGGCAATTTACAAATTACCAGCTGACATGCTGCATCCTCATTACTGCCAGCTCACTAATTGCAACGAACAACAGAGCAGACTATGCTGGTGCTAAATAACACATTACAAGTGCTGCAAAACTTGGCAGTACCTGTTCCCCTGAGACACTGGACAGCAGTGGTGAAACCTTTGGTTCTGGGCAACAGGTGGTATTTCAGTTTAGGCAACCCCTTGGATTCAGCTACTTCCATACTGATGCGGTGCTTGGTCTCTGTGAAACGAGTTCCTTCACAGTACAGCAGAAACTGTGCAAGGCAAAAGCAAAAAAAAAAAAACTCTCAAGGATATCTTGAGATATCAAAAGAAATCCAGCAGTATACTGAAAATCTGTCCAAGATAAACATGCATGTGTACACACTTCTGTTGTGTCATCTCTTCACCATGTATTAGGCATAAGCACCAACTCCCAGCTCATTTACCATTACCTTTACATTTAACAACACTTGCACCAAATTTAAGGTGACAAAAAGACAGCCCTAATTGTGGCATTTAGAATGTACAGAAATTAGGAAATTGATCCACTCAAGTCAATTTTAATCATGATTTCAATTACCAAGCAGGAAGTCTTGATTTAAATAATCAATGCTAACTACATTTTGCACTTATATTTTCTAGTTGTTTTCCCTAGAGACTTGTCCTTGGTTCTCAGTTGTAGAATCATTAAAATGTATAGATTTGAAGCTCAAGTTCAGTCTTGAGATTTTCTAATTGGTAGGGTTTATTCTGTGTTTTTCTTTTCTTTTCTTCCCCACACTCATCAGAAAGATACATTCAATATAATTCATAACTATATATTCAAGCAATTAAGTAGCTTAAAATACATTCTCCAGAGTCTTACTTTTTTCTGTCTTTGTAATGATAGAAAATTACAATGCATTCACAATGTTCTAGTTAGGTCTTAATGTTTCACTATTCATTTTAACAAGCTGTACTGGATAATACTGAAAATTCACTTAAAATGCATAAAAAGCCTCTTAATGTTTTATAAGCCAAATAATTGTACATTACATGTGCTGCTATAAAAGCAAAACTGAGAATTTATCAAAACCTTTGCATTCAAAGCTCTAAGAAGGTTAATGGGCTGATTACAGCACTGTGCTGCTGCAGTGAAGTTTAACAGCATTGCACACAATGAAACAGAGATGTTTTACCCTTGATTTTAAATAATGTCAAAATAAAAAGGAAAAAATGTAACTGCAGAAGCAGATATAAACTTGCCATATGTCCTCACAGAGACTTTTTGGGAAACCTGCAATTTCACAGATCAACGAACACACTAACAGGAACTTTCCATCAAAATCTATGGCCTGTGCAGTCAAATTCACTCACTTCTCCAAAAAACATTTTTTTTTGTTGATGTGTCTTTTCAGTCTACCTGAGAAAATGTTATACAGATGTAGCAATCAAATGTAAGGGGTTTTTTTTAAATAGGCAAAAATAAGTTTGGGCAGAATCATTAGTATCACACAAGCCTGATTTATAAATTATTCTTAAGCTTCTGAACTGTTTCCCAAATGGGTTTCCTTACCAACAGGCACACAGCAGTTCTCTACCAGCATATCCCAAAAGACCTCCTGAAACAGAGCATGGCTTTTCCATGACAGCTCTTGGAATTGAGCACACCTTCTCACAAAGCCACAGGCACCAGTCTGTCACCATTTCACTTCCAGCAGCCAGTACCAGAGGAGGGACTCAACACTTACCCACATATATTCAGGATAATCAGACAAACGTTTCAATCCCTCAATGACTGTATCTCTGTCCTCTTCCCATTTCCTTTTGCAGAAAACAATCTCAAGGAAGTACCACGTCCAGCCGATTAGGGGCACATAGAGCAGCTCTCTCTTCGCAAGAACTTTGGAACTCTTGGAGAGAAAACAAAAGTGACAATCCAAAAATGTCATTTGTTCATTTGTGCAACGAGGTCAAACACATTAAAGCTAAGATGATGGAGTTGGATCTGGGAACTTAAATGCAAAGAAACTGTTTATAGGTGGGTTTTAAGCAGTGTCGGAGTCTCTAGGTTGTCAGAGTGACCCTGAGAAAAGTTAGAAAGTCTCTTTTCCCAGCCTGGCGCTCGAAGAAGGAGTCAGAGCTCTTCATTTCTCAGTCTCAAAGTTGTTTATTGCATCTTATCTATAAAAAAATTTCTCCTGTCCTGCCAAGGTTAGCTCAGCACAACAGTCCAGGCACTCTGCCTGCCCCCAGGGCAGTGTTATGTCTTTATAATAAAAACTACATGTACAATGTTTACAATTACTTTCCAATACCTATCACCTATGTTAGACAGTGAGCTTCTACTCTAACCCAATCTGTAAGTGCCAACATCACAGCAGAAGATGGAGGCCAAGAAGAAGAAGGAGAAAGGCTGGACATGCCCAGTTCCCTCCATCTTGTCTCCTGAACCCCCACACCAGAAACCCCAAAATCTACTTTTCCACTCCATGATAACTTCACTATTATTCTACTTAACCTGTTGTGGCTTGCAGATCTTCATCTAAGGTTGGTAATTTGCTCCACAGGTCATAATCAAACCCACAGGTGTTTTGGGCTTCATGCCAGGGCTTCTGAGCCCCTGGCAGGGGTCTTGGCTGCTCAGCACAGCCAGAGGGATGTCCTGGGTGCTGACAAAGCAGACCTGCCACCCTGCAGAGGAAGGGGAAGCTCATGGCCCACGTACCCCCAGCACTCCAAAGCGCTCCGTCATCGTCCAGCCGCACAGGAAGTCGATCTCAAAGTTGTGGTTCAGGATGATGATGACATGTTCCTTCCCAAAGGTTTTCACCGTGGCCTCGTCTGAGAACAGGGTGCACTCTGTGCCTGACCACCATTCCAGCAGCATTACCAACTCTAGCAAACATGATGGAGGTGGAGAGAGGAATTAGGGGTATCCCTTGCAGAAAGCATTTAGAGTTTCCTCCTCAGCCCCATTCACTGCCCAGCCTCTCGTGACTCCCAACACCATCACCTTCCAAAGCCACCCAGCAGAGATGAAACAAAAGCTTGGTACAGACCACACCATAATACCATCCCTGAGCAGTATTTAATGCACCAGACATATGCATTATGGATAATTCAGCAAGTTTTTAACAGTGACAAGTCTGGGCATTGCATTACAATTGCAAAATTTGATGACCACTGGAAAAAAAAAAAAGCCCAAAGATTTTTATGCCTGAAAACAGACAGTGGAGCTGTTGATTGCACCACTAAATGAGCACAGTTCCTCCCAGGTGGAATAGAAATTATGCATAGATGCAGCCTAATGTTTTTACTCCACATGAAACAAGCCTTATGGAGGTAAACAGACCAATAAAGGTCTTTTAAAGGGATGCAGTGACATAGATCTTCTTTGATAGATTTTAATATTAAAACACAGGGCTCTAATTGTTCTGCATTATGATCATCAACACAGAGTTAAAAACAGCAGAAAATTGAGCTAATTTATCAAAATACCTGGGTAAAGACAGAAATGGCAAATTTTGTCTTTCTTTTACTGCAAAAGAATGAGTCCTTTTCCCTCCATTTACTCCAACTTTAAAGTATCACAGCAACTCTTATTCCACCCTGAACATTTGTTACCCTTTTTTTATTTTCCACCTCCCCTTTTTCATCATAAAACCCCCTTCCACTTAAATTCAGCATGCAGTGACTGTAGTTGCTATGGTTAGCTTATTTCCCTCATTTCAGTACATGGAGGCAGATGGAAGGCATTGCTTGCATCATGGGACAACTATAAAAAGTATGAGAATAGTTCATCCTCCCAGTAGGAAGATTTGCTTCCCTGCAAACTGTAGTCATTGGTATTTTTTTTTTATTTCAATGAGATGTGGTTGAAATAAAAATGTGATTGCACAAATATAGCAGTTAAAAAGAGTCCAACCCCTCCCACATGACTACACCTGCAGGTTCCCCCTCTGTTCCCTCTGTCAGGTTCTGCCAGGAGGTTTTTCAGCTTCCCATTAGGAGTTTCTGGTTTTGCCAAACAGGGCAGCACCTTCCCAAACAAGGGTTTCTGATCAGTGGGATCAGATAAGGTCATCTATCCATAGATGAACAGATAAGGTCATCTATCCATACTGCTGAACAGGAGTTTGGGATCCAATCTTGCACCACTCCAGAGAGAAGGCAAACACAGGATTTGGGTGAATAATAGGGAAAACCAGTCCTGGTCTGCTCAGGGTACAGAGCTCACCTAGCACTGTGTTTTTCACTCATGACCACTCACTCACCCACAGGTTATTCCCCTGTATCACTTTCAGCACTTGCTCATTTGGAGGCACAACAAAGTTATGCACCTTGCTGGCCAAGAGAGCTTAACCCCAGTCAACTGGAAATATGGCAGAGGAAAGGCAGAATTGTCTTGTTCCTTCACACCAGGTACAGGTTTCTATCACTGCTTCCCAGCTTTGCATGCTTTGTGTTCACTCACCTTCCTTTCTCTGGCTATCCTGGCTCAGGAAAAGGAGAAAGAGGACAGCAAGAATGTCCTCAGATCACCTTCCAAGCAGGAGGCCAGGAGGATGGAGCAGTGGTACCAAACACATCATGGCACTCTGAGCAATTTTCCCTTTCCAGTGCTGACTGTGTACCAAGGAGGAACATCTCCAGTACCTGCTACATTTTCTTATAAAAATTATAATCACCTGGGTGTGTATCTTCTTCAAAATCAGGGGGAAAATATAAATCTGCAGAGGCCAGTGTGGATGTGACTTTCTGCAGAACCTTTTTCCCTAAAACATTAGAGGATTTGCCAGAGTTCATACTGAGAGAGAAGGGCTGATGAGCCAAAGGATTAACACGAGGAGACAGATTGTCCTTTGCAAGTGTGCTGACAAATGATGTAATTATAACCAGGAGTGGGCTCATTTCCTTTTTTCAGTGTGTGGGTTACAGCTCCTTTGCGTGGCACTGATCCTATCAATGCTACACAAGAAATCCCTCTGAATGAAGGAATGGCAACACTTGCACTGCCCAGGACAGTTCCTGTAGGGAATAAGCAACACCTGGCATCAACCACCCCTTTGCAGCTGGGGGTCCCACACACCAAAGCATTTACAGCATCACAAGCCTCCCAGAAACAAAGCAAAGAAGGGGCACAGCACATCCCTCACCTGGAAGTACCAACATTTGAGAGGTTATTTTTGCAACAGGACTAACCCAAACATGCTGCACTCTCCAAGGGTGTGATTAATCTGCAAGGAGCTGACGTGGGAGAGCTGCAAGTACAGACTACCTGTCATGAATTTATGGGTTTATGTTGGGGCCAGAGCCTGAGAGGCTACCTTCCCCAAATGTCTGTCAGGAACATTGGATAGGGTCTCTCCTCCTCCCCTTTGGAAGCTGGGCTTTATGTATTTGAGAGGAGAGACAGTAAGAACAGTCACATAAAGGATCACCTGGGTATCCCTCCCTGCACTGATCCTGTGCCAGCTGGGCAGAGCAGCTTCTCTTACAGACCCTCAGCCTGAAACCACAAACAGTTCAGAGAAAATGAGTAAAATGCAGCATCCAGAGCAGAACACCAACCTACAGGGTCCTTCCCAAAAGGCTTCTCCATACTGAAATATATTTCACTATGGATGGCAACACTGGAGCTACTGCATTTACACAGCTTACCTAAATTGCTATAAATCACAATTGAAGAGCATATTCTGCAGCTCTTCCATTACAGGCCATCAGCTCTCTGCAATCCCACATAACACTTACACTGATTTTCATAGTTTAATTTCCCAAGATGTTCATTTATAACAGGGTACACACCAGGAGTTATCCTATGTACAACCAATTATCTACTCAGTTTCTCCAAACCTCTTTGTACAATGATGTGAGTTATTTCCAGTGTTTAGAGGATGTAAGCAGCATCTAAAGTGTGATTTTTTTCATGCACAATGCTAACTAAGGGCTGAGCCTAAAGCCTTACAGGAGCAAGCAGCTAATATCCTCAGAAAAGCCCAACTATTAATGCAGCAATAGTTTTCAGCATGAGATCGGATTCTAGATTTTTAAAAGCAGAAAGAAATTTTTACAAGCAAATGAAAAATAAAAACTCCTATACATCCCCACTCTTATCCAACCAAACTCATTTTGAAGTTTTTGGTAAGCTCTTCTACTGCAATACTTTTTTCCTGACAATTTGCCTGCTAGTCTATTTAATTTCCTCTCTCCTGTACTTCTCAGTAGGGAGGACAAAAAGCACAGTAAAGACAGGGACAACAAGCTTAAAAAGAGACTGAACCAGACACATCAGAGGGGTTTTGTTTGTGATACTTCACATGGATGATTTACAAAATGTGGGTGCCTGTCAGTGGACTGCTGAACTGTAATTTCAGTGCTCATTCTGGTGACTCATTTACCCAAAGTGGGAGTTGGATGCTGAGCTGAGCACTAAGGTAAGTGGCCATGCACACTGGGAAGGGATGGAGAATGGAAACCAATTAGATGATTCACTGCTGAAACAGGAGGTGACATTTGGGCTAAGGAGCCTTCTCAACACTCTAAACATTTTCAGAAATACAGCTCTGTGAGGAGAAGGCATCCACAGGGAGGAAGTTCTGCAAAGGTCTGACAGAGGAGAACAAAGAAGCTGCACTCAGTACAGAGCTGACCCATGGGCAGAAGAAGAACCACTGAAAATGCTCACAAGAGGAGACCCCAGCCTCAGAGATGGGCACTGAAGGGTGTAAGAGGATTCTGAAGTTTGTCACACAGTTCAGCTGCAAACAAATCTACAGGAGATATTTTAAGATAGACCTCTCCCTCTGCACAATAAACCTGGGCTCCTACATGATCCATACTGCTCACATGCTCAGTACCTGAGCCAGGCTCACAATGGTCCCTCAGCACAGGTGCTGACACTGGATGAAGATGGCATTGGGACACAAGTAACAGCTCCTATCAGTCCAGATAAGGTTGGAGGTGCAGAGGAGCTTTACTTCTCACTTTTTTGAATGACAGAGTGACAACACACTTTAGACCCTTGACTTCTGTGTGATTTCCCAGTATTCCAGGAAAAAAAAATGCTGTTTTGAACTGCTCTGAAAAAATCTACATCTAACTTATCATTTCTCTCATCTCTGTGTGCAAACAGATACATGTGCATACGTGGCTGCAGCTCTCTTCACAGAGAGCAGCAGGCACAACTTCCTCAGGATTCTTCCTGGGGAAGGCAGTGAAAAAGCTCAGAGAAGAAGAAAAACAATTCTTAGTTCTACTTGCAGCATCTGTTGTTTGGCACATGTGGAATGTGTTATGGAGATTGTTTACCCAAAAGGGATTTGTTAATTGGACACTGGTGATGGCTGTTTTGGATTGATTGACCAATTAGGTCAAAGCTGTGTCGTGACTGCCTGTAAAGGGTCACGGGTTTTTCTTTAGTACAGTTTTAGTTCAATTTAGTATAGTAGTAATATAGTTTCTAATATAATATAATATGGCTTAATAAAGCATTTGTTCAGCCTTCTGAATCATGGAGTCATTGCAACCTTTGGGGTGTTTGTGAGGGTCCCCAGGATGAGGTGAGAGATGAGAATTTGACTCCTTGTTCTCAGAAGGCCGATTTATTATGATATGATATGATATGATATGATATGATATGATATATAAATGCTATACTAAAACCATACTAAAGAAAAAGGATACAGACAGAAGGCTTAACAAGAATGACAATGAAAGCTTGCGACTGACTCCTCAGAGTCTGACACAGCTGATGGTGATTGGTCATTGAGTAAAAACAAGTCACATGTTTGGATAAACAATCTCCAGACCACATTCCAGAGCAGCAAAACACGGAGAAGCTGAAGCTTTCCCAGGAGAAGAAATCCTGGCAAAGGGATTTTTCAGAAAATATCATGGTGACAGCACGTTATTCCCTGACTGGGGGTTGTCCTGTACTGATATGCGTATATGTATTTCCTTTGGTTAATGTCCTAGGGTGATGTTATGATGCGTGTATCCCCATTCCTGTGTTCTGTTTATGCTGGATATCATGTTCTGTGCCTTCAAGACTGGCTCTGAAGACCGAAAGTTTTGTTTTGGTTTTGCTATCAGCTGCTCCCCCATGGCTGGTGGGACACAGAGACAGGGCAGTACATGGTGCTGCTTTTGCTTTTTGCTTTGCTCTTGCTCCTGCTTTGCTTTTTGCTTTTATATTCTGCTCATTAGTTAGTTTAGCTAAACAGTCCAAATTTCTTCCTGGACTGTTTTTCCTTTCCCTTTTTTGGACCTACTTGAGCCTGCTCCGGGCTGGGCCCTGGGAACACCGAGAGTTTGCACCCTGTGGCCTAGCGGGGCCTACTCTGGGCAGCAGCTGCCCCAGCGCCAGAGGGACTGAGAACAGAGTGACCAGCCCCAAGAGAGACTCTCTGAATTTGTCATCTTTTTCAGAGCAGTGAAAGAGTGGTGTCATCCTGTGCTGTTCATTTTGTGTGCAGGGGGTGCTGTGCCTGTTAAATAAACAGGTTCTTTCCACTTCTCTCCGAGGAATCCTTCCCGAACTGGTTGGGGTGAGGAGCCGTGTGGATTTGCTTTCTGAAGGGGCCCATTTGGAGGTTTTCTCCCAAATTTGCCCTGAACCAGGACAGTTAACAAAAGCAAAACCAAGAAAAGCCTCTTCCCAGCCTCACCCATCCCATCCCAGCCCATCCCATCATACTCACGGCTCCATAGGGAATAGGCAAGGCGACAGTTTACTCGGCGATAGAGCTGCTTGTTGATGGGCCAGAGGAGCAGCGTGCATAGTTGGATGAAGTTAATGATCAGTCCACTGACAACAAAGACGAACCCAATGAGGAGGTGAACTATGAACTGGGTCTTCAGGAAGGCAATGAAGCCCATGATAACCACTCAGAAGCGTGTGCAAGGGCCGTCACTCAGAATAACTGTCCTGAAGCAGGAAAAAACAACAAACAACAAAAGAGTCAAATGGAGTGGATTTACAAGCTCTGAGGAAGGACAAAGCAAAAGCCCTGAAATAGTCCAGGTTCATTCATCAAGAGGAACTCAACTCAATAAACACTGTGCTCTCCACACCTGCCTCATGGAGATCTTCATACAATAAACAGGTGATGGTGCAAATCCCTGCCCAAAATAGGAAGGAATCATTATTTACAATTTACAGCCCACCAGGAAGATTATTGTTTGCTGAAAAGACTAATATCACACCTTTCTTCAAACAAATACCACATAATTGGGAGTTAATGCTGGGAGGAATACAGAGCCCTGCACTCTCAGTGAGCAGTGGTCAGGATATCTTTAGGGATGCTGTCCTGAACAGGAACCTCACCCTGCAAAGAGCAGGGCTGGCCACACACACCTTCAGTCTAGCCAACACTAAGGCAAGGAAATGGAAATCAGGTATTCCCACATTCAAAACCCATGCTGGAGCAGGTTTAATAACTTCTCACCTTGTCAAGCCACATTTCTGTGATCAAATATACCAGTTAGTGTGGGGGGAAAGTGTAAAATGATAAAAAAGCCTTAGGCTATGTAGCAGTACAAACTTGATCTGGAATGGGCATTGGTGCAGAACCTTGATTCCACCAAATTAGCCCTTAACTCTGAGCCTGTGCCATATTTATACCAGGTGCAGAAAGACTGGCAAAGGCTGAACCAGCAGAATGCCACAGGAGCTTAGACAAGCCTGATCCACTACAAATCCTGCCAGCACAAAGTTAACCCAGCAAACTCTATTTACCAAGCCACCAAACTGAGCTTATTGCAAACCCCACATTATACAGCACTGGCCTGGTTGACCTGTTGGTTACTGGAAGCCAGAGCCTTGAGGTCTCACCCAAAAAATAAAAGCTTGACCCTGATTTTCTGCCACAGCCACAGCTTGCTGATGGTTTCAAGCTCAGCTTTTGCAAGTGTGGCAAATGACCAGATCAAGCAGTAGATGGTAACAAATACTTTTGACAAACCAGGCATCCCCAGGAGAGGTAGACCCCATGTCTGAAAATAAAGTCCCTGCCAGCTGTGAGGAATCAAATAATTTTCACTCACCACCTGCTTACAGTGTGCTGCTATTTATAAAACTCTACAGCAATTTAATTGTGAAAGCTTGTTGTCTATCCTCTCTTCTGCCAATCAGGTACAGCCTTTCAAGGCTCAGAGTGTCTAGTTTTTGCACAATTAGCATTCATTTGCATCATTAGTAACCTACCCACTTCAGCAGCACATAAGAGAGGCAAAAAAAAAAGCCTGGTTGAACACAGCCAGTATTGTGCCTACCACAGAAAGCAAAGCAAAGCAAAGCAAAAGAATAATATTGGAGTTCATGATAAATAATCTAAATTCTCCCAGTGTTTTCCTGTAAGGATGAAAGAAACATTTCTTCCACTAATAAATTACTTTAAGAACAGCTGTTGGGAAGCAGAGACTTCTGTTTGAAAAGGAACAAGTGGAGCCCTCCTTGCTCTTCCCTCCCCAAAAAGCTGCAGTTGTCTCACACAGCCAGAACACCACAGCAGTGTTCACACATTGCCATGTGGGAGGCAGCTGTGGCATCCAGTGACTCCCTAGCACTGGGCTTATTTGTCTTTTCTACTGGCACACTCTGATAAACACTGCCAAACATTAAACACCAAGTTCTTCACTTCCAAGAGTCATTCTCTTCATCTGGTCTATCTCAAAAGCCAGTTCAAACAAACAAGAAAAGAACAATTCCCTCCACCCCTGCAAGCTATTTCTTGAGTTCCTCTGCAGAGCCATGTGCAAGCAGCTTTGCTGATGACTGTGTCCACTGTCAAACCGTTCAAAGGCTGGACTTGAGGATCCTGGAAGCTCTTCCAACATGATTTTATCTGTGACAGTCATTAGAGCAGCACTTACAGCCTTTTTCTGCACAGCCTGGCCCCTCTCAGGGGCACAAAGCACACACAGATGGCACAAGGAGAAACAGCAATGTCAGGTATTATCTATCCTCTAATCAAATGGTTTGGCTCCACTTCCACAGCCTCTTGGCTTTGAGCAGAATCTGGGGCTGGTGTTTGTCTCTAACATTAAGGACATTGCTGTTTTACAGACTCCAAAGGACACATCCCTCCTTACACAGCAGCAAGATGGTTTCTCCAGCTTTGTTGGACATGGAAAACAGGATTTATCACTCTTGCACCAGCATCCTGCCCCACATGCTGGGCACCATAGAATCATTAGGGTTGGAAAAGCCCTTCAGGATCACTGAGTCCCATCTCTGACCAACTCTTACCTCATCAACTAAACCACAGCCCCAAAACTCACATCTAGTCACTCCTTGAACACCTCCAGGAATGGCAACTCCACCATTCCCCCAGGCAGTTTCAATGCTTAACAACACCTTCCATGAAGAAATTCCTCCTGATGTCCAATCTGAGCCTTCCTGGCACACCTTGAGACCACTTCCCTGGTCCTGTTGTTGTTGTCTGATCCTTCCAGTTTAGCTGCTGGGTACAGAACCTGCCGTCTCTGTTTTGACAATCCCTCACCTAACTATATTTGACTTTTAAGATCATTAGAGGTTAACCTTAATCTAGGAATTATTTCGTTTTCTGCATCCCTGCCCATGTAGGACAGCCAGGCAATTTAGAGACAGGACAAGAGGCAAAAGGTGGTCAAAACAACTGTTTTGTTGTATCCCAGGGTCAGGGGAGGATGGGGAAATCAGAATTTGCTGAAACAAGGAAAAACACCACTTCTGCATTTGACTTATGTATTAAGATCAGCTTAGTGAAGTATCTAGGAAATAAACAGCTGCCTCAGCCTAAGACAGCAAAGTCTCAGCACTGTTTTCTTTTTTTTTTAAACATATCCATATCATCTGCTTTTTTAAAGACCTGCTAGTCAAATCTTATTTTTGTCCTTGTTTTCCTTAAACACTGTCAGTTCCCAGCATTGACCTTTCACCACAAAAACTTCATTTCCTCCAGCACAGGTACACTAAGAACAGTGGGGAATTTTAGTACTCTCCCTGCTTTCACAGAATTAGAGAATGGATTGGGTGGAACAAACATTAAATATCACCAAATTCCAGCCCCCACACCATGGGCAGGGACACCTCACACTAGACCAGGCTGCCCAGAACACAATCCAGCCTGGTCTTGATCTATCTGCTCTGATGAAAAAGTTCTTAAATGCTTTGCATCCTTCAGGGCTCTCTCCCTTATTTCTGTGCCTCTGAAGAAAAGGGCAAGGAGAAAAATGTCTTGCTGTGGTGGGCTGACCCTGGCTGGAGGACTGGTGCCCACCAAGGCTGCTCCATCACTCCCCTCCTCACCTGGACAGGGAAAACACAACCAATGGCTTGTGGGTGAAGGTAAGGAGAGGAGAGATCACTCACCAATCACTGTCATGGGCAGAACAGACTTGATGTGGGGAAATCAGCTCAATTTATTACCAAACAAAGCACAGTGTGATAATGAGGAACAAAACCAGATCTTGAAACACTTTCTCCCAACCCCTCCCTTTTTTTGTTGGGCTCAACTTCCTGATTTTCTGTGTTTCCTCTGACCCAGCAGTGCATGGGGACAGGGAATGCGGCTGTGGTCAGTCCATTACTCATCTCTGCTCCCTCTTCCTCAGAGAGAGAACTTCTCACACACTTCCCCTGTTCCAGAGGGAAGTCCCTCCCACAGGAGACAGTCCTCCATGGACTTCTCCAATATGAGCTCTTCACCAGCCTGGTTCCTTTCCATGGGGTGAAATCCTTCAGGAACAGGAGATGCTCCAGAGTGAGTCCCTTGCAGGGCCACAAGTCCTGCCAGCAAACCTGCTCCAGCCTGGCCTTCCCACGGGGCCACAGCCTTCTTCAGGCTCTCATGGGCTCCTCCAGGGGCTGCAGGTGGATCTCTGCATCCCCACGGATCTCCATGGGCTGCCTTGACAGGGTCTGCAGGGGAATCTCCACTCCAGTGCCAGGAGCACCTCCTGCCCCTCCTTCTGCACTGACCTTGGAGCCTCCTGGGCTTCTCCCACATATTCACACTCCTCTCTCTGGCCACCATTTCTCCTGTGGAGTTCTTTCCCACCTTCTTTCTTCAGTGCACTACCCCAGAGGTGGTACCACAATCTCTGATGTGTTGGGATCTCTTGCTTATCAGAGTGACTCCGAGATGTGTTAGAAAGTCTCTTTTCCCAGCCCGGCGCTCGAAGAAGGAGTCAGAACTCTTAATTTCTCAGTCTCAAGGTTGTTTATTGTTTCTTATCTATAAAAAATTTTCTCCTGCCCTGCTGAGGTCCGTACACTCTGCCTGCCCCAGGGCTGGTATTATGTCTTTATACAAAAAACTATATATACAATATTTACAATTACTTCCCAATACCTATCACCTATGTTAGACAGTGAGCTTCTACTCTAAACCAATCTAAAAGTGCCAACATCACAGCAGAAGATGGAGGCCAAGAAGAAGAAGGAGAAAGGCTGGACACACCCAGATCCCTCCATCTTGCCCCCTGAACCCCCACACCAGAAACTCTAAAATCTACTTTTCCACCCCGTGATAACTTCACTATTATTCTACTTAATTTTTCATGGCTTGTAGATCTTCATCTAAGGTTGGTAATTTGCTCCATGGGTCATAATCAAACCCAAGGGGCACCTCAGGCTCTGTGCCAGGGTCTCTGAGACCCCTGGCAGGGGTCTTGGCTGCTCAGGACAGCCAGAGGGGTGTCCTGGGTTCTGACATGATGGGCTCAGCCTTGGCCACTGGCTCTGTCCTGGACTCCAGGACAGATTTGTCCTCAAAGCCCCACGTTCACATGGATCCTCTGGTTTCCAAAAGATACAACATGCCTCTCAGCAGAAGTCAGAATATTACTGTTCTCCTTCACCCAGCTTTCTACATTCATGGAAGTCCTAATGATTAAACTTCCTGGAGACCTCTACCTCTGCCAGGTGTCACTGGAATTTGC